GAGATTTCAGGGATCTAGTCTGGTCAAGAGAGGTTCTTGAGACAACCACCAGCTCCCCGGCAACTGCAGGCTTTTTCAGGGAAGAAGTTCTGCCTCATTCGTTGGGCCAGGGGCTAAGCCAATGCCAGATAGACTCCATGTCATCTGAAATGGCAGCAGATTCTAACGAACAGTCAAATGAGTGAGTGAGGAAGGAAAGGGAAAAGATGCAAGTTCTCTTTGGGTCTAAGGCAGCAGGGCCTCCTCAGGGCTAAGGAGGCCTATAACAGACTCCCCACTGAGGCCCCACCAGGGGCTGGCAAACCCAACCTGAACCTGGGACCAAGCAGGGCTGGGCTGCAGGGTGCGGGAGAGGTGGACACAGTGGTCCTCCCGGTGAAACGCTGGCCTGGCTGATGGACTGAAAGACCCTGACCTCCCAGTGCCCAGGAAATTTGGTTGAATGGAAGCCTGATTCCTGGGTTAGATGAGTCAGTGCATCTAGGACAATGTTTCCTCACAAGAAGCAGATCACATTGATGTTGTGGTACAAGGGCCACACACAGGCTGGCCAAGTCCAAGAAAGGGACACACATCTCTCTGGGCCAAGAAATGTTGCTTTGCACTTCATATCATAGTTGACATGTAGCTTTTATAGTTGGCCATTTCAAGTATCCAACTCTGGTCCACTGTGAGCATAGCCGTGACCTTGAGCCACTGAAGTATCCGTTAACTCATTCAGTCACTTAATAACTGTCTATGGCGCATGACTGCACACCAGTCTCTGGGGATGCTACAGTAAACAAGCCACCTGCCCCACAGGAACATCGTAGGGTCCAGTGGGCACATACAGCAAGTAAACAGGAAACTATGTGACTGGGTGAGAAGTGCTTTGAGAAGGAAAAGAGAAGATGCTATGAAAGGATGCAGAGAAGGCCTTTAGCCCAACACTGGGGGCCTATTAGACACCTGGAGGAAGTGAGGCCTAAGGAAGCACACAAAGGCCAAGTAGAAGTGCCCCACGAGAGGTTAAAGAGGAGCCCGATTATTCCTCATCTACAAAGGAGGAGAACCTGACACTGAGCTTTTCACTACAGCAGTCTTGTTTCTTAAATGTTTTTTAATAATAAAATATTTCACCCTGGCTGGATGGCTGAGTTGCTTGGAGCATCATCCCATATACCAAAAGGTTGGGGGTTCAATTCCCAGTCAGGGCACATACCTAGACTGTAGGTTTGATCCCCGGTTGGGGCACCTGTGGGAGGCAACCAATTGATGTTTCTGTTTCACATCATTGTTTCTCTTTCTCTCTCTCTCTCTCTCTCTCTCTCTCTCTCTCTCTCTCATCAATAAACAAATCCTTTGGTGATGCTAAATATGCTAAAGAATAAGAATAAGAATATTTGAAAAAATAAATATAATAGGACAGATACCTAGGTAGCTACCACCCAGTTTTAACAGTTTTAAATATTTGCACATATGTACTTTTTTTTAAGTAAATTGTTACTTAGAGCGTTCTCCTTCCATCCCAGAGGAAACTACCACTGTGCTAGTTTTTATATACGAACCTTAGAAATTATCTTATAAACTGAAGGTAGGACCCTCCACCAGCAAAAAGATTAAAACTGGCTGAAGGCTCAGATAATGGTTAGCATTTTTTAGCAATAGAGTATTTTTTAATTAAGGTACCAACAATGGTTCAATTTTTTTTAGACATAATGCTATTGCACACTTAGTAGACTACATTATATTGTAAAAATTACTTTTATATGTACTGGGAAGCCGAAAAATTCATGTAACTCACTTTATTTTGATATTCACTTTGTTGCGGGTAGTCTGGAACCAAACCCGCAATCCCTCTGAGGTATGCCCATACTTGGGACATCATGGTGAACAAAACAGAC